CCCCATGCTAAAGATGTCCCCCAGGGGAGCGCCCAGGTCTGCCTGTGGCTTCTGGAGACATGGGGAGTCCAACAAGGTGCCTCTCTCGTCCCTGTCTCGTGTTCCTTCTGCAGCCTGCAGTCCCTCTGTAATAACTACCAAGTGGCCCATTACCCTGGCAGGGAGGCGGCCCGAGCCAGCCCTGGACCTGGATGATATGGCCAAGAGCTCAAGGGACAGAATTCTGTGTTCTGTGTAATGTTCTCTCTTGTGAGGAGGCAGTGAGGAGAAAGAAGCTGACCTTCACCTGGGGGGAGGGGGTACTCATGAAGCTACAGTGAAGAGCACTGTGGCCAGGCTCCGTGCTACGCATTGGGAGTGCATTCTCATTGAATCAACCCTCCAGCCCCATTTTTCAGATCTGTCGCACTTGCATCCTCTCGAGATAGCTCGCTGCCGTCTTTTTCTCTGATGATATATTACAAACTGCATGCTGTCTCCACAAGATTACAAACCCCACAGGGGCCTGCATGTTATCGGGCTGTGCATCTTGGTCTTCTCACTTCCTAGGACAGTGTCTTGGCGAAGGTTTTTTGAAGGAATGAATGAGAAAATTGAGTCTCAGAGAGATTTAATAACAGGTCCAAGGAGGAGATAATAATTGCATCCACTTGTGAGGTTTTTCTGAGAGCTAATAAAACACTGCAAACACAAAGTGTTTCGAAAGCACAGAGCCCGGCATACAGTAAGTGCTCAGTAAATGTTAGCTGTCACTATTACTTGCAAGATCTTCTTTGGATGACTTCCTTGCTCAACCCCATTAGTCCTAAAGCCCTTCCTAAAGTATGTAGGTCACTGAGCGCATCTGGCATTCATCAGAATGAAAGCATACGTTTTTTTGGGTGGAGAACATATTCAGAGAAAATGATCATCTCGCAGGCTTATGGATTCAGGGAACAGAACAGCCAGCCTTCCACACACAAAGGCCCTCTTCTAACCATTCCTGACCCCATCTGGTCGTGGCCGACCTTGCTCAGGTTCTCCCAGTGCCCTGACCCATCCCTCCCCCAGGAGCACCTCCGGCCCTGGTGCCCCCATCTACCAGGAGAGCTCGGAGCGCTCAGAGGGCACCCAAGCCCCATCAGGGGCTCAGCGGACCTCAAGAAATGCACATGACCTCAGCTGCTCCCCATCCTAACGCTACTCATCTGCCAGGTGAATTGAAGGGAGACCCTGGTCACGGCAGCCGTTACTGTCAACCTGGGAAGCGCAGAGCAGTTAAAAGCCTATTTCTTTTCCTCTTGCAGATATTGATCTCCTTAACGTTGTGCCAGGCTGTTTGCTGGCAATTAATTTCGGAGCCAGCACCGAAGCTGGCCTTTAGCATCGGTTCCCCGAATACACAGGGGCCTCCTGTTCAGAGCCATAAAGATGATGCGACTGCTTCTCTCAGCCGCCCGGGCTGCGCTGTAATTTCAGTTCCTCGCATTTGGGCTGAAGTTAAGTGTAGGACACGGACTCCCTGCTCTGTCATATTGCTAAGTGGAGGCCAAGATGATTAAAAAATCTTCTAATGTCCTTTCCAATTCCTTGGTCCTGGAAAACAGGAAATAATGTTGTTTGTGTAGAGATAAAATCTAGGCAGGTCTTTCTTCAGACCACATGAAAACCTTCTCTCCTCTTGGATCTGGCTCTTGTTTTGACTTTGCCATTAGCTAGCTGTGTGATTCTGGCCCTCAAAGCCTATTTCTGAAGCTGTTTCCTTTTATTTATTTTTTAAAATATGTTTTTATTGGTTTTTTTAGAGAGAGAGAGAGGAAGGGAGAGGGGGATAGAAACATTAACGCTGAGAGAGAATCATTGATCGACTGCCTCCTGCACACCCCGTACTGGGGCTCGAACCCTTAACCCGGGCATGTGCCCTGACCAGGAATCGATCTGGTGACCTCTTGGTTCCTGAGTCAACCCTCAACCACTGAGCTACACCCGCTGGGCTGAAGCAGTTTCCTTTTAAATAGGGGTTTGGGCTAGATGATAATAACCAATATCAGTTTGTGTAGGTGACACAAATCCATTTGGACTCAATTTGCCACTTAGAACTTCCTGGTCTCAGCCTGTGTCTCGGTTTCCTCATCTGTAAAATGGGGATAGTATTAGTACCTGCCTGATGGGGTGGTTGTGAAGATTAACTGAGTCCACGCACAGGAAGTACTCAGACCTGTGCCTGCTGACGTATAGCCTCAGACGATCAGCTCCACCGTCGTTGCCTCCTCTGGGCCTCCAATCAACCTTAAAGAAAGGCCTTCTTTTTCCCCATCTTATAGATAATTAAGCATTTACTCCTCAACTGCTTCCTAACTGCTGGAACCAGAATCCACCTGCAGGCTTTTCAAAGGCAAATGTTCGTTCCACGTGGACACAGAGACGACTGTCCGAGGCCCATCGCACCTTTATGCCTTAACTCCATGGGACAGGAGCCTTGGAGGGAGGGCTCTGCTTCTCTCCTAGAGGCCAGGGCAGGGTTTCCTGCTATTTTCCTGTGAGGCTCTCCTTGGAGGCTAAGCACCCAGGGACACTGAGGGGATCACGTGTCAAATGGCCCTCTTCCTACAGAAGACTGCTCTATGCAGAGAGAAGGGGTTCCCTTCTGTGCGGCCTGGACAGAACCTCAGAGACCCCCTTCACCTGAACGCACACTTTCCAGCTCATACTCACCATGACCTGCTTCCTTCCAAGCAAGAAATTACCCAAGTTGGGCAATTAAGTCATTAAAACTGTTGTCATCGTGGATTTTTACTGAACGGAAAAAAGCACTATTTATGTCACTTAGACATTTCTGAGAAGACTTAGCTGTTCTTTTAAGAACATCACTTCTGGGCCAATGAAAAAATGTAATCCAGCCTGAGTCATAAATTTTAAAAACACATACAAAAGGTTTCAGCCTGCAAAACAATGTTCCCCCGGCCTCCCCACATGTCCCAGGATTTTAACAATGTCCCATCTGTTGATGTCAGTCTGCAGCAGCGAGCCTGGACTCGCCAGTTTTATTAAAATCTTTTCTGGCCGGTGACCTGATTTCTCCTGGGCTGACCTACTCCTTCCAGGCCCGGGCCTGGGGGCCTGTGACAGCATGCGTGGCTGTCAGACCGGGGAATGGCTAACCAAAAAGCCGTTGTGCGTGTGCTTAATAAGAGACGTTTCCGCTGGCTCTTGTTGCTAATTGCTGAGGATGTCTGTGTTTGGATACAGCTTTGTCCCCAGCCATCTGCATGCTGTTCATACGTCTCTGCTCAGTCTCGGGCCGGGTGACAGCCATGGTTCCCATGTCAGTCGGTGACAGCGTCGTATGTTGAAACGTGTGATCGCAGCGCACCGTGAGGGAGCCAGGGGAGGGAAAGGGGCAGCTCTGTTTTCACGCCTAAATGTCTTCACCAGTTTTCAGATACAGTTTTCAATTAGTTCAGCTTCACGCCATCTACAGTTACAGGTGAGATTGCGGGGTAAATGTGTTGGGCCGTTTGGGAAAGGAAACAATGGATTTGCGGACACCTATGGCTCCATTTGGTGGGAAAGACTTTTCCTCAAAGGCCCTTAAAAACCTCCAGCTGATAGGAACTGTTGACTCTCCGAATGCAAGCAACGCACCATGGGAGTCTCTGCTCTGGAACTCCATGTGCGAGGGCAGCAATGGTATATAGTTATCTGTTCAAAGGTGCCCCGGGCCCCCCAGGTCTTGTTAAGACAGCTTGTCTAAATAAAGCACCAGCAACAACAGTCGGAGGCAGTCCCGAAATAATTAAGGAAGAGCAAGAATCACCCCCCCTCCCCCACTTCAGGCTCCAGGGTACTGCACCCAGCACAGGATCAGCAGGAGATGCCTGTTCATCACCCACCCTCAGAGGTCATGATTTGATTAAGGAATTAGATCACTGCAGAGTCGTTTCCTTAGGAGATAGGCTATCTCAGCACACAGGAAAACGGCTGATGTGAAATTAGGAAACTGAACCAGACAGCAACCCGCTTTCTTTACTCTTCCGTAGATCAAGAACGCTGCAGCCAACGTCCTCCGGGAGACGTGGCTCATCTACAAACACACGAAGCTGCTGAAGAAGATCGACCATGCCAAAGTCAGGAAGCACCAGAGGAAGTTCCTCCAAGCGATCCACCAGTGAGTAGGCGGGGAAGCTGGGCCAGCGGACGGACGGCCAAGTTAGGAGGGGTGGGACCCCACAGCTCGGCCCGTCCCTCCTTGCACGCTCAGGGGATGGGAGAGATCCATTCTGTCCCACTCAGTGAGCCCCGGGGGCGATAAAGGGGGCCCAGGCCAGTCTGTTTATTCATTTGTTGCACCTGCCACTGCCAGACATGGGGCAGGCTGCCATGGAAGGTGAAAATTAGAGGAAGAGTCTCTAAGGGTTCTCACAGTTCACACACACACACACACCACGTTACAACTCAAGCAGAACAAATTGTGGTCGGTGCTTCCTATAAGAGACGTGTTTTTTAAAGCATAGTGAGAAAATAGAGGGTGAAAATCATTATTCTGACCTAGAAGTTCTGGGGAAACCCTGAAAGGCCGAGAGTAGGTCGTTCAAGGTGGAAGGCATAGCCTAGACCAGGGGTGGGGAACGTGCGGCCCTCGGGCTGCCTAAGGCCAGCGAAATCATTTGACCTGACCCTGCCAAGGCATTAGGGGTGAGTTAATTAAATGTTTGACCGAATAGAGCAGGCTGATTCTTAACTTGGTAATTGTGTATGGCCCGCAAATGATGTTATAAATATCAAAATGGCCCTTGGTGGGGGAAACAAATGTTCCCCACAGCTGGGTAGACAAAGGCGTAGATGCCAGAAAATGACCCGGGAGCAGTGAGAACCCAAAGTGACTGGCGGCAAGCATGCATGGAGACGAGGATTTGCTTTCTGGGGACCTGACAAGCCCTTGATTCTGGTCAGTTGTCACCCACGTTTGAGGTCCCCGCACTGGGTTCCACACCAGATGCACTGATGGGAACGCGGAATCTGCTGGTGGGGCTAAACCTCTGCGTGCACTCGAAGACCGCGGCCGTCCCAACTCTTTTCCGCAGACTGAGGAGTGTCAAGATGGAGCAGAGGAAGCTGAGCGACCAAGCCAACACCCTGGTGGACCTCTCCAAGGTGAGTGGCCACGTCTGCAGCCTGAGGGGTTCTCAGGCGCCGGCCCTTAGACGTCTCGGGTGTGGCTGCCGTTCACACTGCACAGTGCAGGGCAAGGAAGGCAAGGGGCACTGCCTCCTCCGTTAGAAAACGGTCTCGGTCCAAGTCCTGCCCAGGTGCAGGCTACCCGGGTGTCTGGTCGCCTTTGGAAACCTGGCGTTTGTTTCTTAAGTTCAATCTCTTGGGTTTGTCTTTGCTTGGAATTCATTAGCTGCCCTCTCCATCTCTGTAGTGTGTCGCTCTATGGGCTGTACCCTGAGGGCTCCTAAGATGAGCTCGAGTTTGCACAGGGCGGGGCACACTGATGGCCACGGCGCTGCCTCGGTCACATCTGGGGAAATCCTTCCGGTTTGCTGGTATCATGGGACATTCGTTTCCTTGCATCCTTTGGTCCTGATAGACCAGCTTTGCTCGCCCCGAGTTGGGGGTGGGGTGCATTTCTTTCCTTCTCAAGAGGCAAATAGCCTATGATGAACGTTAAGATGCTACAAACGGGAGTCCTCCCTTGAGAACCCCAGGGCTGGGCACCGCACTGTCCTTCTGCGTTTCTGGCCCTGGACTGCCGTAAATACTGTAAAGAAACGCGCTCCTCTTGCCAATCACTGGTGCAGCTGACTATAGGCGCCACGAACAGAGGGCCTCCCCACCTCCGCACCCCCTCCACCCCGCTCCCCCTTGCAGGCCTTCTCACTGACTCCTGACAGAAATTATATATCAAGTGTGCAGCCCAGGGCCAGACTAGCAGGATATTCCAGCAGATGCCAATTACCATAATGGCACACGTTCCCGGGTGAGCAAGAGAAACTCCCTCAGGCAAATTAAACACCCTTTGAAAAGAGGGTGCAATCAGGGAAATGGCAGGTTGTTGCACCACGTGCGGGAGCCTTGTTCAGAGAAGGGATCCAGCCAGACAAAGGGCCTCCCAAGCTCAGGGGGGTGGGGGGCTCCGACCAGGGAATGCGTGGCTTATACGGGGAGAAGCCACAGGCCTGTGTGCCTCTGGAGGGTGCAGAGGGGGCATGCAGGGCTCCTGAGAGCCTGGAGGAGGGGGCATGTGGAGGGTTGGAGGGAGCGCCCTGGGGCCTTGGGTGTGTCCCTTACCAGGAACCCACCGGGACTCAGTTTTTAAGTGGAGGCATTTATTATAAAGATACAAGGAAGGCTCGTTCCAGGCAGACCCACAAAGCAGGCATGTGGGCAGACTGGAGGAAGGAGCTAGCTGGAGTCCCCCTGGAAAGCCCTCCTACCCTTCCTGCTCTCTCCTGTCCAAGTGCCTGCTTCAGTTCTCTCTCGTTTTTTCCCCCGCCCCTCGCCCCCGACAGCTTTCTCTGCCTCCTGTCTCCGCAGCAGACCGTGGCAGGCCCCTGTCCAGAGAGTCAGTCTTCTGGTTCTAGCCACCGGCAAAGGCCATCGGCCGCCTGTGGATCCTCATGCTGAACTCTCACTGAGATGGGATGACTGGCTGGTTTGGGTCATGTGTCCACCCTTGGACCCATCCGCTGTGGCCAGGAGGAGGGTCTTGTAGGGCTAACAGGGCGTGGGGCCCACCCGTGAGATGCAGGAATGACCCAGCATCACGCCCCAGGGTATTTCTTCTGGAAGCAGCAATGCTTCCTGCCTTCCTCTCACCTGGAAGGACTGCTTTTCCTCAGTGCCACCCACAGCCTCTCGCAGAGGTGGGGCGAGCGCAGAACAAACTGGGTGCAGCAAAACCTCCGTGAACTGGGAAGAGGCTCATGGGAATGGGGTGGGGAAGTAACGTCAGTAATCTGGGAGGAAGGGGTGCAGAGGAGAGGGTTATGGGAGACGGCTGCAGGGCAGGCGCCCTGTGAGGCCTGGAGAGGAGAATGCTGGCGGCCATCCGGGCTGTGTCTTCTCCCCGAGGTCCCGGCAGCAGCTCAACATGTTTCCCATTTGTCCACATTCCCTGGCCTCCGGTCACCAGGCAACACGCAGGGGAAACGACTGCCGTGTTCTCCCCCCTTCCTGTCTGTGCTTCTCCTCCCAGCTCCCCACCTCCAGCCCTGCTC